TCGCATAGTTTCAAAGAATACACACCAGTGTGTCGCGTCACACAGTTTTGAAAGCTCTGCTCTCCATAAATTGATTCGTTTGATTAGGTCGCACTCGTATACGATCCCCTGGCACATGTTATCGTCTGCTGACTGACGGAGGAGGGAGGAGAGACAGATCGCAATCGTGCAAGTCGTGTCGTCGCCTGCTACACAGTACACGCTACAAGTCGGCTAGTTTTGTTTTGTCTAGACATTTTCAGTCGAGTTTTCTTGCTGGTTTCTTCTGGTAATTAAAGCAAGACATCGTTTGCAAAAGGTAATTATTACACAGTTGTTTTTTGTAAATAATGGTAATATAAATAACATGTTATTGTTTCGCTAACATGATCAATTTATTTTTGTCGTCCGCTACAACAACAGAAGTCCACCAGTCTTGTTTTCAAAACAAGTTTCTTGTTTGTCAATTCTTTTCATTAAAGCAAGGCATCATTTGGAAAAGATAATTGTAATATAGTTATTATTTTGTAAATGATTTAGCATATTGATCTATATTTATCATTATTCATCTACCGCTGGGTATTTTACTTCCCATGTCGCCTGCTGCACAAGTCGACCAGTTTAAGTTTTCTTTTGTCTGGTCATTTTGTTTTGTTTTGTTTTACGCCGATCTTTCTTGGTTGCCTTGGATATATTCTTTGGGTATTCTGTTGATTGAAGCAAATCATCGTTTGCTAAAAGCCAGTAACTGCAGTTTGTGTGTGTGTGTGTGTGTGTGTGTGTGTGGGGGGGGGGGGAATTGGGTGACAGTTATTTGGCTTCCTGCGATATCTAGGTCTGTCATCATCTGCCTCAACGTATTTTGTCATTCTTCCCATTCAAACTTGTTTGTGTTTTGCGTACAGTTCTCCTAAACAAGTTGAACCATCCATGACGGGTGTAAGAAAGAAAATAAAGACTGCTTTGCATTACATATGTCAGGCTGTTTGCATTGTTGACTCAACAATTGAAGCACATGGGATTCAGAACTTTGACTTACTCTTAGTTAGATTACAGTTATTATTCTTTTTTTGCCTTCTAACCTCTAATTGAGCATAGGCTTTCAACCAGCTCACCCCAGGTTCTAACCTTCGCTATCGCTCTCTCTGTGTCCTCTCCATCTTTTTAACTTCACTTTCTAGCTCCCTTCTCCATGTGTTTTTTGGGCTATCCTCCGAATAACAGGCACAAAAGATAGCGGCTGCAAAAACATCCTAACAGAGCCTCAGTCATGTGTCAGTTGCGCAATTCTGGCGACTTAATTTGCGGTTTTCCGGCGACTACCGCCACCGCCGAGAGAGTATCCCCGCACCGCTCACGCTGGAAAACCGCAAATTAAGTCACCGGAAGTGCGCATTTGATACATGACTGAGGCCCTGTTTTGGCTGCCATTGGCCGCCATCTTTTTTTTTAATTCCGAGGATAGCAGTTTTTTGGTCTGCCATTATTTCTGTACCTCTGTGTGTTCCAGTTCAAAGGCATTCGGGTTGTATTGGTCTCAGTTTTTCTGGACGTGTGTCCTATTCAATGCCAGCATCTTTTCCCCACCTCTTGGTCCACTGGAACTTGTTTAGTTCTCTCCCAAAGGCATTAGTGATTCTATGCCATTTAATTCCCTCTATTCGGTGCAGGCACAAGTTAATTAGTGTTTATAGTTTATTAGTCATTATTAACATTGTTAATTAGTACATCAGTGGTTGCGTATCCTATAGCAGTGGAGTATCAGTAGTTGTCACATAAATAATGTTATTACTAGCCAGTTCAACCCTCATTGTTATAATTATGATATATAGTGACAACATATAATTGTATGTCGTCTTCGTTGTCAGGATGTTGCAAGCCAGTAAGTGTTTACGGGGTGTTGTAATCATTTAAACAACAGTATCCTGTTCATCCCATCTAGGTTATCATTGGGATATACAGAGTTTTTGTGTGTGTCTGTCTCAGTACTGGATTTGTATGTTTGTCAGTTACTTTTGGTTATTTAAAACTGTTTATATTGAGTATCAGTTGTAATAGATTGTAGGAGCATAGATTGTTGAGTGTAATATATTTTACATGTCATCATCATCGACAAATAACACTGCGTGTTGTTGGGTCACCAGTTGCTGTTGACTGTCTGATCAGCTCCCTCCACCTTTGGCAACCAATTGCAATGAACTTCATGATCGAGTGCTAGAGGTCCCGAGTTCAAGCCCCGGTGAAGGCAGGAATTTTTTTCACATCAATTTGTAGTAATTTTTTCTTATCTATGGGTAGTGGGCGCTGCCGGAGTGAAATTTTGAGTTAAAAATCTACCTAAAGTATTTCAAGATCCTCATCAGTGTTACAGAGTTCGTGCAGTATGCTGAGATTCTTCAGACTGAGACTTGAGTTAAAAGTAAAACGGAGCACTTAATGGGTTACTACCCTTGTGCCACGATGATGATCCGTTGTTGAAACCTTAAACCTATCTGTATGGTAAATTGCTGTTCCTAAACCAAGCTGTTTCATTCTGTTCTCACTGGCTCTTATTTGTGTCTACTCCAGCTCAAAGTGAACCTCGTCATATTGCCTGATTGCCTGATTGATTTTATTCACTTTGTCTAGTAGTACACATTGTATCATCTACCGTTGTTTGGCTTTTAGCAGGTTGTTGATTTATCTAGAAAAAATTGTGCTGGTAAACACACAGTTTCTAAAACAGGTGCCCGGTATTCACCACAGTCTGTTACAGTAGCGCCACCAAATTATGTTTAAAAACAAAGTGCAGATACTGCATACTGCTGTTAACTGGTTGAAAATAGGCCTTGGCTTTCAGAATGTGTAGTGAAGTGTGGCCTTGAATGCATGAATAAAATGATGGCAACATCTGTGCTATTGATTTTGCTTTGGACTGTCTACACCTATTGTACAACTGTACAATATGTGCAGCTACTGATCTGTTGTAACTGCTGCTTCCATCAATTGTAAACTACATTTCTAGTGTCAGACTGTTTGTGTTGTACTTCTAACAGCTGCCTTATGCATTGAATGCATGCAGTGTGTTTACTGTTGGATTTGTTGAGAATGCTGTGTCTCTAATTTTTTGTTTTTACAAGGGATAGTGGCGAACAATCTAAAAAGTGGTGAAAACAGGGGCGACTGCAGTCATGCAAACACTAAGAAATTAATCTAGTAAACAGCTGTGACTCGAAGCTTAATGAAAGGCTGAAGGGGAACAATGTAGACACAACAAGACAAATCAGCGTTTAGCTGGAGCCTTTCTCAACAGAAACTACACATCAGCAACAAAGGGCCAAGCACTCCCACCACCAGTACCCATCAGGGGGTCATGTGAATAAGTGTGAAATTTAGGAAGCCAAAAGGGTGAAGTGGAATGAATAAAATAAAATAGAATAAACGAAGGCTAAAAAAATATTAATAGAAGTAATAACGATAATATATAATAGTAGTAGGAATAAAAGAGTAGTAAGAAGAAAAATGCTAATGATCCATAAATGAAATTAATAACAGATCAAATAATAAAATTAAAGTAAGACAAGAAAAACTGTTTAGAAAATTGAAGGAGTATCTCTCCTGGTATTAAAAACAAGACACTCAAACCAATCCCTCTCTATTTCAACAGCTCTGACCACAGAGGCAATGATGATTTAACTGTCACCATGATAAAATCTTGCTCTGATGATCAAACCACATGTTTCTCTTTTCTTTAAATGATAATAATAACAGATAAAATGAAAGTAAAAAAAGAAAAACTGTTTAGACAATTTCGGGAACATCTTTCATGATATTGAAAACAAGACGCTCAAACCAATCCCTCTCCATTTCAACAGCTCTTTCCACAGAGGCAAAGATGATTTATCTGTCACCGCGACAAAATCTTGCTCTGATGATCACACCACGTGTTTCTCTTTGCAAAATCGTCTCATCCATAGTCTAGGTGCTCTAAGCCCAGCAGGTATCAGTGCAGCATTTCTTCATCTCAAAAATGTATAACTGGAAGGGCTTTACACTGGAACCCACAGGGACATAGAAATAAAGCAAAGGATGGGACAACTTAGCATGAGTTGGTTTTAAGGGCCTGCTCCTCTAGGGGAGAAAGGACTGAAGAAGGCTATGAAGTGTTAGACCTAGATCACAGCATAATGAGTTTAGGTGGTCAGTTCCCTTCATCACCATGTTTCTAGGTTATAACAGTTAATCGGTGCCACTAGTCGTTAGTTTAGTTTCTAACATCACTGCAGAGGGGTCACTCCATAACTGCTCAGTTCCTGGCCTAGTGGAATCATGCAAAATAATCGCTGCACATTTTATCACTCTAGGTGCACACACAGATTCGTGGCTTGGGGGAGGGGGGAGTCTAAAATTATTACATATTGCAGAGATATAAAATAAGTGTCAGAATATGTAGGATTGTTATTTTGAACAAGCCTTTAGCCTTGGTTGGCAGCTGTTCTAGAAGGGAAGCTCCAACAGGTGGACAGAGCACAGCTGTTCTGATCTAGCAGTTTCTTTGGAGTAAACTCAGCAAGCAGATAGAGAGATCATGAGGATGCATGGACAACACATGGTCTCTAAATTACCACCCAGACTTTGGGCTATTGGCAGGTGGAAACTTCCTCTGTGGCCTTGAGTGACTTTTCTTAACCGGAGCAAGTCTTGCTACTCACACTGGCCATCCTCATTGAATTAAGATTTCTATGCCTTCCTATAGCCCATCCTTACATGTGCTAATGGTGTTATCTAGCTAGTGTTAATGTTACTAACTGCTTTGTTCTTTCATAAAAAAAGAAAAAATGAAACTTTATTTTCATTTCAGTCACAAGATGATGGCTTGAGACATCTCCTGTGAAGGATGCAATCATCTGCTGGCTGGCAGGGTCTGTTGACGCAGAAGTAAATCGCAGTCAGGTTTCTGTGAATGTGGTTGACATTGGTACACTCATCTGATAAATATTTAAAAGACAGTATTAAATAATAGAAGGTTTACGTGAACCAAAATGTCTGCAGTTGTTCCACACAAAAAGAAGAGCTTTCATTTAGATGAAGCAGATCTTTTGTGCAAGAACGGATGCGGTTTTTATGGGAACATCGCCTGGGAGGGCTTCTGTAGCAAGTGTTACAGGGAAGTTTACCAGCCAGCCAAACAGGCACAGATCCAGCATGATGCTCTCAGGAAATCTGGACAGTATTCTCCCACAGCAAACAAGTAAGCCATGCTTGTTTTGTCACAGAGTTGTACCTTTTTGTTTATCTCTTCAACTGTATTGTTATAACTACACATTTCCCCAGGTGCTCCAAGCATTGTACTGGCCCTTTTGTCCTGGATTGCTTAAAACAAAAATGGCAGGAACCAGTGGAAATTCCTGAAAAAGTCTCTAATAAGTAACCAATTTGACACAGGTCACTAATGAATTAAAAATAAATTTTGTATCTGTATTAAATTTGTTTGTTTTGGGCATGAAATATATTAAAGGAGTAAATAACAAAGATGGTACACCACAACATCTAGCATGAGAATAGAGGTGGAGGCGGTAAGTACAGCTCTCCGGTGGCTAGAGAACAAGATGCATACACATGTTGTAATTGTAACAGATTCTGAAAGCATGCTGAAAAAGGTAAAGACAGGAATGCTTCGAGCAGAGTGGCAAGCTTCACTGGAAAGGTCACGGGTAGTGCGCATACTTTGGATCTTTTTTTTTTCCAGGCCATGCCGGCGTGGTGGGTAATGAACAGGCAGACAGATTGGCTGGATCCACACCACTGGGTGGTGAATTGATACATGTCAAGGCAGATGGGGTCAAGGCCCTTTGGGAACAAGCAACAGAATCAGTAGAGAAAGAAGATTATAATGGTTTGGAGAGAATGAGGGACCTGGGTGTAACCAGAGGGTCTGGCCGGCTCACTACACTCAGAGGAAAGGCAAGACAGACATTTAACCAGATTGTGACCGGTACCATCAGTATTGGAACTCTGTGATGGCTGCTGAAAATGAGGACGGAGCATGCATGGGAATGCCCCGAGTGCTGTGATGTCAATTCTTGACCCAGCTCAACTTAACAAAGATGAAAGGAGCAATGCATTAAATCCCCAAGGCCTAAAAAAAAAATTGATTGCAATACTCATACAGTGACCTCGTTGGTATCATAACACTAAGGCTAGGGACAAATTATGTTGTCATAGTGGCTTTGTAAAGCCATTTGGTCACAAGAACAACCCCCCCTCCCCCTCAGTATTATTTTTTAAACTAAATATTGTCATATGCGGGCCTCCTTCAATCAGTCAGGGGCTTCCCCCGTGTGGGTTCCGGGGCCCCATTGTGGGGAAAACAAGAATAGACCCACTGCCTCCCCAAAAGCATGTCATAAGAGTCGACTAATTGGGGAGCTTCCTTTAAAGTCGGAGTGCATCTGCCGGAGAGGCAAGGAACCAACAGTCTGTATTCAAGAAAATGAGATCTGTAAAACTGATGCACACGCAACACTCAGGTTCTGGAGCAGGACTGCAGTTCAGTAGTGGATGAGCAACCAGAACCTTCCGCCAGAGTGTACAGCTGGTGAACGCGAAGAAGAAGAAGAAGTCAGGGGCCTCCTTCAATCAGTCAGGTGCCTCCTTCAATCAGTCAGGGGCCTCCTTCAATCAGTCAGGTGCCTCCTTCAATCAGTCAGGGGCCTCCTTCAATCAGTCAGGTGCCTCCTTCAATCAGTTAGGGGCCTCCTTCAATCAGTCAGGGGCCTCCTTCAATCAGTCAGGTGCCTCCTTCAATCAGTCAGGGGCCTCCTTCAATCAGTCAGGGGCCTCCTTCAATCAGTCAGGGGCCTCCTTCAATCAGTCAGGTGCCTCCTTCAATCAGTCAGGGGCCTCCTTCAATCAGTCAGGTGCCGACTTCACAGTCAAGGTTGGCTGCCATGGATGTTCAACACTCTCTGTCCCTTTTCCTGTTTGTACACTCAGACTGCTGCCTGTCCATCTCTTGATGTTGTCCTCCCACTTGTATCATTGCCCACCTCTTGCTGTCTTGCATTGAACCTTTCCCTCCAGTATGGTTTTTAAAAGTGTGTTATGTTTTTTGATGTGGCCAAAGTATTTCACTTGTCTCTTTTTAAAATTTCTTTCAGTAATTATAATTTCCAGAACCTTTTTATTGGAGTATTTTTGATTTCATGAAAAATGACATATTCTTCTTTATACCCACACTCCAAAGGCTCAATACGATTTTCATGCTGCTTGTTCATTGTCCAAGTTTGTGCACCATAAAGCCTGACTGAGTATACATAATATTTGATGATTCTCATCTTTAGTGTTTTGTTTATCTCTCTAGCTGTCAGTAATTTGCGCCTCTTATTGAAGACAGTTTTAGCCATTCCTATTCTCTTTCTATTTCGCTTCTTCCATCATCTGGTACTATGTGTCCTAGATAGGAAAAACTTATTACTTGTTCTAATAAGCCTCCATAACACTGAGCAGACACAGACAGAAGAAAAAACCATTAACTTAGCTTCTTGGGGACAGGCCATAGCTGAAATTGCATTTACAGAATGGAGACACTGACAGAAATGCAGGAGAGGAGACAATATAATTTTTTTTTCTCACAATGAGTCAGCTCAGTAGGTTCCAGTTGTAATTTAATTCCTTCTGTCCCAGGTAGTTTCCAGCTTTTACTATTTATTCAGATTTATTGAACAAGGAAAAAAAGTGGCGGTGGATGATAAGGACTCGGTTCATTTCCAGAAGACTATTTTAACAGGTTATGTAGAATATGGATTTTCATAATTTATCATTTTGGAAATTGCCTCCGTTATCTTACAGTCTTGCAGTGTGCAAAAGGGGCTTTTTTTTAGCAGGCATCATGGTAAATTCTTCTTTAACCAGACCAGTCTGGACTTCCTGGATGTCATTGGGGAGGTCGTGGCAAGTGTGTTACCTCTTCTTCATATCTCTTGACAGTGGTTTTTGAGTCTGAGAGGTGGAGCCTCCTTAAATATATGGCAATTCCCCCCCCCCCCCACCTTTTCCACCCCCCCTCCCCCTCCCTTCTCCCCTCTCTCCCCAAAATCCGCCTTTGTACTTTAAAAACAAAAATGTGATTTAAAAAAGACTAGAAAAAAAAAAAAAATCCCAAGCACTATTAAAGAGAATTTGGTAAAGAACGTCCACATAAGTTAAAGTGTCAGATAACATAACGTCCTTGGCTTTTTGTTTTATATATAGTTTTAAATATTTTGTTTGACTAAACTGGGAAAAAAAATGAACTTAGTTTCATAATTCTCGATGCCTATGGAAACTTCCTGGCAAACCCCTACCCCCATGCTGCACTAGACAGTTCTGACTGAACCTGTATCTGGCACAGGCTGTTGTTGCTGGCTCCTTGAAGGTCGCAGACAGTTCTGACTGAACCTGTATCTGGCACAGGCTGTTGTTGCTGGCTCCTTGAAGGTCGCAGACATTTCTGACTGAACCTGTATCTGGCACAGGCTGTTGTTGCTGGCTCCTTGAAGGTCGCAGACAGTTCTGACTGAACCTGTATCTGGCACAGGCTGTTGTTGCTGGCTCCTTGAAGGTCGCAGACAGTTCTGACTGAACCTGTATCTGGCACAGGCTGTTGTTGCTGGCTCCTTAAAGGTCGCAGACAGTTTTGTTTTCAGTGAACTTCCAAACATTCTAGAGCAGACCATGGTTATCAAATCACAGTTATTGTGTCCATAGATGATTATTCCCTGAATGAAGCACATGTCCATCCACAGTGCACCTGAGCTGGCAGATGAACAGGCTGCTTTGTCCAAACTAGAAAAGCAGAAGGTACAGCCAGCTAGCAAGCAGAGCAGTGCCTTCAAATTTCTCAAAAAATCACCAACTAAAGGTAGGAGTGCTTCACTGCTGCTGCATTAATGTATTCTTCTTCTCTGGTCTAGTTCTACCTTTCAGCGTCAGGTTTTGAAGAGTCTTGTAATCTGGTGCGTGCCTTGGTGTGTGCTAGGTATATGCTGGTATTTACAGCCTGGGATATTCCATCTATCCATTGTTTGCATGGTCGACCTCCAGCCCTGCTCTCTCTAGTGCACTATCTGATGGTAGTCTTGACACAGGATTATGTATTACTAGGCATAGCTTGTAGTTTAAGATAACAGAGAGCTATCAAGGCTGTTTGTGAACAAAATCAAATGTGATCATGTAAGAAATTATAAGATTAGAAGAACTATTGAAATAATAAAGTAAAAAAGTAAAGTAAAGATCCCTTTTCACGCCTTTTGGCGCATCGGGCATATGGGCAGAGCGTCCCATATTTTTACAGACCATCAGCACTCGGTGGGTAATGTGGTCAGCATTACGCCGGCTGTCTTTACTTTCCCAGGACAGCCCATTGAAATAATACCCATCGTTATATTAAATTAATAAAATTAAGAAACAAAAACTGAAATGGTTCAACCTCCTGGTGGGAGTTAATCTAATGATGCTGGCAGCAAGATCTTACAAAAGGAAAATGGAAACACCACAAGGCAGAGGGAGACCCAGAAGATGGATCAGGGAAGTCACTGACAGCCTCTGACTTCATGATATCACCAAACACCAAGCAACTGAGAGCGCCCGTTTTTGCTTTCCTATATTTTGTTAAACTATGACGTCTAGTGACTCAGAGCAGATATTGGACTAAAGAAAGAATTTTGCAGCTTTCAGAACAGTACAGTGATTGACCAAAAAAGTATCGGGTAGTTAAACTTTGCAAAGAGAAAGATGTGCGGGTAACATGCAGACATACAAATTGTTGTAGCAAACAAAACAAAAGGAATTCTGTATCACAGATAAAAATTAAAGTTCTGTGAGAAACTAATTCTAAAGAGGAAATAAGTGATCTAAAAATATTAATAAGAAAAGATATGTACAAGTTTGGAGTGGAAAGAGACATTATTAAAAATGTTTACACAAATATCTGTCTCTGTTCCTCATGTGGATTTCGGAGCCTCATTGTGAGGGAAAAAAGAATAGACCCACTGCCTCCCCCAACAAGCATGTTGTGTGAGTCGACTAATTGGGGTCTGCTTTGAATTGAGGGTGCATCCGCCCAAGAGGCAAGGAACAACCAACTGCACACAGATACGCAAGTTAAATGGATGTACGAGCAAAACTCAGGCCCTGGCGGCACAAAGTTAAAAGTCCTAATGGATGAAAAACCAGGCTTTGCCACCGGTGCTTGCAGCTGGTGAACAAAGAAGAAGCAGCCATGTCTTTGTGAAGTGAAAGAGGTAAAGCTTTGTCCCATAGCAGTTTAGAGTCTTAAGCTGTTTGCCAGTCATAAAAATATATCAGTCCAGACGTGACCTAGTCAGCTTTACAGTGTCACAATCATGACTGATAAAATTTACCTTGTGGCTAGAAAGCCCTCATCAGCATATGACAAAAAAGGGCAGTGATATAACTACAAACTCAAAAACAGTTGTCTTGACTGTCTATATTTAACACTTGGTGATGTAGGATAGGGGGTCCGTGAGCCTGAGCATTTAATTCTGCACGACTAGTGCAGTTGCCACAAACTTTGCAGGTTAGGATTTTGTATTTTTTGCCCGACAAAGAAAAATCACAGTTCTTTTAGCGATGATTGAACCCTGACCTACCACATAGGAGCCCAACGCTGTAAGCACTGGCTGGACCAGCAGCTCCTCGGTTACAAACAATACATACAAGTGCTCAGTTTATTCAATCTCCATCCATGCTTGAACAGTGGAGTCTCTTATTACCTGTCAGACTGTCTGATGTACAGACTGAAACCATATCAACATCTGTGATTTTTCAGAGATCAAGCCGGTCATTCAAGAACTGCGACGGGGCAGCACAGAAAGTCAGAAAATTGGAGGGGAATTTGCAGAATTTCTGAAATCCTTGAAGAAAAAATCAGCAGCAGTGGAAATTTCCAAAATGGTAATATCAGTATTTTTTTTTCTCTTTAAAACAAACAAATTACTTATCACTCCCTTTAAAGGGTCTGCTCGACTCACGACTGAGTTCCATTCTGACTAGCAGGTTGAAAGTCAGACTAGTCATAAGTTTAATTTATGTTTTTCAACACTATTTTCTGTTTAAATATGTTATACAAATTGTACATATAACACAAAATTTGAGCGTGTGTACGTATAATTAGTTTGCCGTATGCAAAATATGCTTAATATGTACTCGGTTGCATCAGTTTCTGGAACTCTTTTAATGTGTAATTATCTTTCTTTATTTACTAATATTTATTTATTTGTTGTTTTTTTGTGGTCGTAAGTTGAGGAAAAGGGGCGTTTTGTTTTCTTTAAAACTTTGACAGAAACGTTCATATTTATTTGATCTCTTGAGTACCTCTGAATTCCCCATATGTGTCTTGGTCGTTTGAAAGAAACTAAAATGTTTTTGCTGTCTTCTGTCACAGAAATGTTTTATTTTATTAACCTCTTGTCTGTGTAGCAGGTGTTTTGGTACTGGTTGGAACTGCATTTTGTGTAGATAGTGCTTACGATTATGTTTATCCCAAACAACAACAAAATAATTCTTTAGATATTATTTAGGGTGAAAAAAAAAGATTTGTAAAAATATAAACTTATATAACTTCAATAATGCATCATTGCTTTTTGTGGAAAAGGGACCAAAACCACTTTTGAATGGTTAAAGGGAAGGAAATCAGTAAATTCTTTGCTGTGTTTGTGATGAAGTTAATGATTACTTCCATGCATATAGAAACAAACCTTTTCCAGATTTAGACATTAAGTGACTGAATTAAAAATTTTTAAAAAAAATGAGATACATAAAAATATGCAGGGCAATAAATTGTGCAATCTGTTGTTTCTTCGTTGTTCAAATGATACAGTCGTTAGATCAAAAGAGATAGTTCTTCTTTATTTTAAAAGCACTTTATTGATTAAAACTAAGTAATCAAAGCAGGAAATAATAAATTAGCCTCTGGTAAGTAAGTAAATATTACCCCACGAGGACTTCACACAGAGCGATAAACATCGGGTAACACAAAGTTCCACCATATGGATGAGAATCACCTGTGGAGAGGTACACATTAAATCGTTAGGTTATATTAGGGCCTCCTGCAACAGCCAGGGTGGGGCTTCAAAATTGAATCCCACAAGGGGATGACTTTTAGGAGGTCATGAAAACTGAGTTCAACCATTAGGTTATATTAGGGTCCCCGGCAAAAGCCACGGTGAAGCTTCAAAATAACGAAAAATTGCATCCCACATGGGAGATGACAGGAAATTTACACTAATCTCTGATGACAAATAATCCAAACGATTGATCACTTTCAGGTGCGTGAATTTGTAGATCGAGTCCAGCAGAACCAGCACTTGAATATCGACGACTTGTCCGAGATGGTCCAAGAGTTTTATGGAACCCTTGAGGACCAGCTGAACGGTTACCCAGTCTTCAAAGGTTTCTATTGTCTGTGTCCATGACTGTGTATGTGGATGTTAGGGTGCAACTCACCAACTCGGGAAAAGAAGGAGAGTGACTTCCCTTGCCATTCATCCCTGGTCGTGTCGTAGGTGCTTGTCCTATGTTGCGGGGGTGTCACGCTTAGTGAGCGTCCAGCAACACAATAAATTTTACGCTGTGTTGTCACCAGCCAGCGATATAGCGTGGTCTGTATTCCACGATGTGAGTGCTTTTAATGGTCCCAAAACATATAGAACTGGCCCTAACCTTTGGCTTTAAGAAACATTTAATTCCTTGTATGGTTAGTCATGTGGTGTAGCAGCTATACACTAGCCTGCGGATCGGAAAGTCGTGGATTCGATCCTGACTTTAAACAAAAAATTTTGCTTCCCGGTCAACCCAGCCTTAAATGGGTACCAGGTGCAGTCCTGGGAAGTAAAGGCAGCCAGCGTAATGCTGAACTTATCCACCAAGTGCGGATTGGTCTATAAAATAAAGCTCTAGCCTATTTGCCCAATATGCCAGAAAGGTCCTTTACTTTTTTTTTTTAACTTTACTTTTTATTCCTTGTATTGGGGTCCCAATTAGGGGGAGAGGGGGGGGGGGTAAAAGAAAAGACTCATGCCTCTTTTAGGTATGTCGTTAAGGGCGACAAGTTGGGAGTTTGCTGTCTTGGGCTGAAAGGCGCAGATATTTGCAGCCTAGCTGTAATCCACAACACAACAAACCAACTTCCAACACAGAAGAATAGTGTACAATTCACAGGAGCAAATGGATCACCACAGTCTGGTGGGAGTGACGAGGGAATCTGGCAAATACTTGACGCTCAGAGTTAAGGCAAGTCAGATGTATAATCAGAATGCTACTGGCAGTGGAACTCTGCTCTGGCTGCTGGGGATGGAGCGCATATGGGAATGACCCAAATGCTGTGATGTTTGTTCTTGAATCAGCTCAGCTCAGAAGAATAGGGAGTAACAGTACTTTTTATACAGGCTTTGCAACAGATTATTTTGTGGCCCTGAAATCAACACAGGGAGACTGGGAATATTACAGGTGAGGCCCCAGTCTCTTCAATGTGTGTGGCTGTCTTGCTAATGTGTGAAAGTCACAAGAATGATCTACATTTAACACGCCAGGTAAGGCAGTTCAGTCTAAATTGTCATTTCCACCAAAGATCTTTTTTAATGACTTTATAGGCTTTTTTGTGGGAAATTAATGTGGTGGTTTCCCCTCCCTTCCACACAGACCTGTCATCAGAGACTATAGATAAGGTGATGGACTTTGCTGAAAGCTACATTCTGACTCGCCTGTACCCGTACATCTTCTGTTCCCCCACCACGCTCGATGAGGAAAGAGATCTCGCCCTACAAAACCGGATCCGCAGCCTACACTGGGTCACAGCACTGCAGCTGGACACCGTCATTAACGATGATGACCCGGCCATTCGGCACGAGCTGGACAGTGCCATTACAGGTATGCTAGTTAATGGTTTGTCATGCTTTCTGGTTGCAGTCACTTGTAAGCTAGCTGGGAATCTTCACCCTTTTTGTAACATTATAGCAAAAATACTGGCTGATATTAAAGAATTAGGCTTTGGAGACAATCACTTTCTTAACAAATGGTTACTTCCATGAATGCTCGTCTCCTTACTTGGGTTACAGAAGGAGAATCAGAGCACAGTGCACTAACTTGTAGCACAAATTAAGATCCATATACCACAATCTGACATTGATTCATCGGGTCAGTTAATCTGCAGACTGGTTTTGAAGCCATCAGACCGTTTCCTTTTGTCTTCTTCACTTCTTTTAACACTTCGAGTATATAAGCTTCTGCCTCTTGCGCTTCTGTCCGTCTCAACCATAGACACTATTCTACTATTGTAGAATTTCTCTAATGTTATCTTTCCATCTTGTTCTTGGTCTGTCTTGTGCTCTACATCTTTTTTTGATTAATGTCTTGTATAGTATACTGCCATAAGACATTCTCTTGAAGTGGGAAAATCATTTTATTTTCTCCCTTTGTATGTAATTTAGGATTAGTTCTGTGCCGGCATGTTCTTTTTGTGACCTCGTTTTGGTCATCTCTTCTGGTTGCTGCTAAAGAGTGACCATGGTTACTAATTTCCTTTTCTGATTTGTGATCCGATGGTAGAATTGGGTAAGAATCAATATGCTTTCTATGATTGTCAGCTGATATCTGTGACCCCATGTTCCTGCTTGCTTGTCTTCTGTGAATTTTCCTATGTCATACTCTTGTTGTCTTTTCCTGGATCTGAATCTCCAGTGCTTAGTCATGCATGCTGTGCTAAGATATAAATATTCTTTGGTGGTTTAGATTTCTGATGTAGAGAATTCAACCAACAGATCCATTTACATGGAAGGCATCTTCTGACTTTTATTTATCAGTGAAGAAAACAACCAGCTCATTTGTAGATTTCAAGAATTGCTCGGGGGTTCATAGCAAAAGCAAATGGGCGTGCAGCTCGGAGGAAAAAAGGTCAGAAATATGCCTAGACTTTATTTCAGAAACACTCACACTAGGCAGAAGGTAACTTCCGGTTCTTATCACGATATTTTCCACTAGCCGAGAGTTACTTCCCGTCCCATTCATGCCGCGGCCGGTCACACGACCTGTCATATGTTGTGGGGGTGTTATGTACTCCTCATTTTCAACGGTTGAAAACTTCTCTATTTTCTCATGTTGTAACCACTCATTTGTGAACTTATGGCACGTTGGGCTACTTGCGCGACAGTTCGTGAGTAGCAAAACTGGCATGTTTTTGTATTTCATACGAAAACATCCCAGTTTTGATACTCACAAACCGCTGTGCCTGTGGCGTTTCCCCCTCTAATGCTTCTTACTTGTACACAGGGGCGTCAAAGAGACTCACGACAACACAACCTCCCACAAAGATTGTATACGGCGAGCGAACGAAGCTATATCACGACACCCCCACAACATATTAACTCTCGCCATGCAGACAGTATATCGTTACTTACTTCCTAACCCTCAGATGTCCTGATATAACCGCAGCATGTATCAGAATGTATGGTTGAACAAGGTTTCTGGGGTTAGAATGAACATCGCTTAGTGCAACAAGGCCCTGAATATATCACAAAATCTAGTTTGAGAATGGAGTTGGAGGTGGTCACTTCAGCTTTCTGCTTCACACAGATTTAGTGAATGTAACTGACTCAGCAGGAAGGCAAGCATCACTTCAGAGGTCCCAGTTTGTTAGCATCCTTTAGATATTTTCTCCAGGTCATGCTGGTGTGTTTGGAAATGAACAGGCTGATTGATTGTTTGGTTCTGCAGCACTTGGTAGTGAATTGATGCCTAGAGATGTGGGAGCCAAGACGGCTGTGATCTAACAAGAATAGTAACTGAGGTTTGTATCTGTTTCTCTGTGTAGATATCATAGAGATGGATTCCAAGAGGAGCAGCCAGGACAAGCTACAGCACATCGTCAGCTGCAGCAAGCACATCTTTGAAGTCCTGCAACAGTCCAAGCAGGGCCCTGCCAGTGCCGACGAGTTCCTGCCAGCTCTCATCTACATAGTTCTCAAGGCCAACCCTCCCCTTCTGCACTCTAATATACAGTTCATCACTCGCTTTGCTAACCCCAACCGGCTGATGAGCGGCGAGGCAGGCTATTACTTCACCAACCTGGTGAGTCGGGGGTGCATGTTGTGTGAGTAATGTGTTTATAGGGTGGGTCTAGACCAGTGGTCTTCCACCTGAGGGAGGGGAGGGGTGAGAAAGTTTCAAGAGGACATCAAACAGTTTTGAAACTGAGTACATTTGTGCTTGCAATAATCCAGATTTTCAGTTTTAACAGTCGTGAAAACAGAACAGTGTTGCCAGCTTGATGTGAAGAGTGATCTCCGTTTGTGCCTTATCCAATATCTGACCAAAAATAACAGATATAACAAGAAAACAAATATCAACAATGTCATTGATATTTGGACACTAACTAAAATTTCAGTTGGTGATTGTTTCTTTTGTTATTTGTTATGGGGTTGGGGGAGGGGGGTGTATTGTCATAGTTTCTTTTGTTATGTGGTTGGGGGAGGTCTACTTCAAGGGAAGTAGAACTTGAAAAAAAAAAGTTGAAGAGCACTGGTCTATTGTAATCTAAGAGAAGTGCCATTACTTCACCAGTGTGGTGAGTCAGGTGTGCATGTTGTGTCGTGGTGTGTTTAAAAGGTAGGTCTAGAATAGGGCTGTGTAACTGGCGGCCCGTGGAGGCCTAGCAAATGACCCGGGGATCATTGTCAGTTGTATTGTAAAATGATATTTCTGTGCTGGGGTTAGGCCTCTGGGCTATGACGATTCACATTTTCCACATTCTGGTCCCCCTGAGTAAACCCAGTTGAACAGTTCTGGTCTAGAATAATGTAAGGAGTGGCAAGAAGGGCTGTGACTTCACCAATGTGGTGAGTTGGGTGTGCTTGTTGAGTCTTGCAGCAGTTGTCAGTAGTGTGTGTGTTGTGTCTGGTAGACATTGAGTCATGTATATAGATGTGAGACTAGCAGTCTAGTTCACTTGAAAGTCTTCAGTTGCTAACAGTGTACATACAAGATAGACCAGTCTAAATACAAGATAAGACTAGTGTATGTACAAGATCGACTGGTGCAGTGCAAGATCGGCCAGTGGACTAGCTCTTCATTTTTCAACAGCGTATGTGCCAGTTAGGCCTACAGTTACAGACGGGTGTACACACACACTCATCCACTCGACCAGCAGAAGTGAACTACCCACCATTCCCTTCAGCTGGTTAGCTCAGAATATTTGACAGCTGCCTACAGTGAACTCAAGAAAAGAATCGCTGGCACTTGGTAGCCAAGAGATGGTGCAACAGAAATATACAGCCACAGTCAGATAATTGTGGAAATTCATTGCCCTGCTAGTGACCTTCCTTTTGGAGACAGCATTTGATATATGATATTCCAGCTACTACTTTACCTCTACGCCTATAAGACAGTATTACATCATCTCTCACTTCAACATTTATCCTTATATAATGCCACCATAAAGGGTTTTAAAAATGTTTTCACTTCCCATATAAGACAACCCTCAATTTGAAACTTAAATTTGGGGGGAAATGTGGTACTTTACAAACAATCTAAGGTTTAACTTTTTTTTCCCTCCTACAACATTTCTTTTTAATCCAGTCTTTCAGAATCTTTATTTGAAAACCCCACACACCCCCCCCCCCCCCCCCCCTCCTTTTGGGTTTTTTCGAAATTTAAAAAAAACTCCAAATTTGGTTTTTTAGGCTCATTTATTTTCCCGGTCTTTAACCTGCAAAAAAATGTTTAAATATAAACATTACATTACAACAGCTCCAAAATTACTTATTTGTGAAAGTGAAATCTAAAGGAAACAAATGGTACTTTGTGCAAACTTATCAGTAAACATGTCAATAGTTAACTAGAAAACAATATTTGGTTGTGTCCACAGTGCTGTGCTGTGTCTTTCATTGAAGGAACAATTTTTAGAATTCCGAAAATAAAAAGTTTAAAAACTTGATC